GGGGGGGTTGTAGTCAGGAAGTCCCTAATAGTGTTTATTTAGGATTAGGGTTTATTTGATATTTGGGTTTTATTAGAGACTACATTTTTGAACCGGGTATATCCAATCAGATTAGAAACTGATTAACGGAAAACACATGACATAGTCGAAGGAGTAGTTCAACAAATGAACAACGCTTCCCCTTGTACGAGAGGAGTACGTTGAGATACAGTTATCTTAGACTACTTACCACACGCCCACCAGTTGTTTCAGTGCTCATCACCATCTGTGATGTCTTCTACCCTGCCGGAGGCAATGGACAATCTTGCTACTTGTATATCGTTCTTGACACGCTCCTCAGCCTGCTTGGTCTGATTCGATGCCTTCATGAGACATTGACTGAAACGATGTGGGGCTGGCATCACCTTACAATAAGGATATGCACGAACATCGCGTGCCCCTTTTCTTCTCTTGGGTTTGCCATATTGGGTTGGTTTGCTTAGATTCGCCGTTGTCCGGTTTATGCCGTTTGGTTGCAGTAGTTGTGCCAGTCTGAGACTGGCTGTGGGTGGTTGCCTGCGAGCTGTGTTACTCGCGCTCTCTATACAACCTATCTGCATGTACTTTGGCTGCTGCTCTTATGGTTGCTCCAGTAAGAGAGTGAAACACGATGTGTTTCTTATCGGATGATTGGCCTTCACCTCTATCAGGCTGTTTGTCTGCCTTGATGATGGCGACCACTTCCTCCTGTTGTCCATAGTACGTAAGTGCTTGGTATCTTTGACCTTGAGGATTTGCAAGTATATAGGCTCTTGGTCTGAATTGCGGTAACGCTCCTCTAACACTTGCATTGTTCTATACAATTGCTCTCTGTGCACCTCCACGTTCAGTGCTTTATTCTGCATGTCCTCGAGAAACTCTCTAACAGAAGTCTATTGGATGGTGTCTGAGTCTGTCAATAATAATTTTATTGAATTGTTTAGAATCCTTGTAGTGCTTGGTCATCTATGTTTCAGAGTCTCGTAACTCGTTGAGCACTGCCTTGGTCTTCTCCGTTGCGTTGCATCAGTGGAGTCTAATAGATATCTCACTAGTGCTGGGTACTGACATAATGGCATAGACTTGGCTAGCAATAGGTCTCTGCATTGTGTAGTAAACTTTAAGATATCTGCATAATTTTTGATTTTGAAATAACTGCCTCTAGGTAGCTTCGGAAATTCGGAGGTTTTAGTAGTTTAGACAGTGCAAATTCATTAATCCTATCGCCTAAGCGTGAACGCATGAGTTCTAATTCACTAATGTACTGACTGATTTGGAAAATTTCATCTTCATCATCGCCAACGCACACTTTGATAGCTAGAAAGTATCTTCTTCTGAGTTATGTATCGACGATTGGTATGCGTCGTTCTGGCTGTTGGTCATGAGTGCCTACTCTTATCTTGTGTAGAGTTGGGATAGGCACCGGTGCTGTTTGTTCCAATTTGGATACAAACCAACTAACCAGGACGGGGTAACCGTGATAGATAATCTTGTTCATTTTCAAACGCATTGCTGAGGCTTGTTTGGGTACACCCTCCCCACCCACCCACCCGGTATTGGCTGGCTTGAGACAGTGCCTGGGCTTGGCCGCCCCTATTGAGTCAATACCTGCTCCATCTGTACCAACACCTCCTTTTTCACCACCATAAACGCTTGCTCTGGTTGCCGTTGGTATCTTGAACTGTCTGTGTTAGTTTGTGAGTATTGCAGGTTAGTGGTAAAGACTCTTGCTATATTCTGTGCGAATGCGCGCTTCACCCCTCTTGTCTTTGTTATTAATTTGCATAAAAATAAATAAAATTTTGAATATCTCACTTGCCTTTATTGTGGTCTCGCTTTGCTGCACTTCCGTGGAAAGTGTTTATCTTCCTGTGTGGTGCAGTAGCTTGTTGCGTTCCTTCCTGTAATTGGGAGGGTTTGAGCGGTGTTTGTTAGCCAAGCTTATTTCGTCACGTGTGGACTTACTTGTGTTTATTCAATCATCTGAGAAATTGTTTTCTCATATGTGAACTCAATGTGTGAAATCGGTGTTCGGCCCTGTACCGAACTTGTTGCTTGAGATGTCCTGTGTCGTACCGAACTTGCTTGATATGTATATCAGCTTTTTATGTTCTGAATTTGTGTTGTACCGAACTTTGTTAACTGTATGGAACTTAAGATGTTCTTGTTTATTGGACTGACAGCTCCTTAACTAAGTTGTCTTTATATGCCTCGTGTGCATGCGGTTGTTCGAGACTCTCACCTGTGGTATGCACGTGTTTTGTTCATGTTCTATCAGGCTTGTTTGATTTTCGTATGCCTGTTTGGTGTTCGTTCTGGGTTGGACAGGAATTGCATAAATAAACTTGTGTGTTCCTTGTTGTTGTTTGTGCACGTGATCTTGTTCTCGGTTTCAAATTCACTGTGTCAATGCTCAAATATATTTTTCATCCTTCTTCTAGTTACTTTGACTATTGTCAATTTTGACTCTATGTTGCTTATTTGTCAAACTATGCGTGTTCTTTTTAGTTATAACGCTTATGCTACATAGGGACCAGGCTATTAAAAAGCCAATCCAAATCCCAAAACCTCAGAATCATCAAATATTGAGTTTTGGAATTAGGATTCAAATATTCTTGATATTAGAGTCATCAGAAATATTAGCGTTAGAACCGGTAAGTTATACCGGGACTCCACGTGTGATTAGAAACACTCAAGTAGAAACTGTCAATTTTGACTCTTTGTTGCTTCTCTGTCAAACTATGCGTGTTCTTATTAGATATAACGCTTATGTTACATAGGGACCAGGTTATTAAAAGGCCAATCCAAATCCCAAATCCCCAGAATTATCAAATATCGAGTTTTGGAATTCGATTCAAATATTCCTGATATTAGAGTCATCAGAAATACTAGCGTTAGAACCGGTAAGCTATACCAGGACTCCGCGTGTGATAGAAACAGGTAGCATCTAGGGACCAGATTATCAAAATGCCAATTCAAATCCCAAAACCCAGAATAATCAAGTACTGAGTTTTGGAATTAGAATTTTTCTGATATTAGTCATCAGAAAAATTAGCGGTAGAACCGTAAGATATACCGGACTCCCGCGTGTGAGAGAAACACTCAAGTAAATCCTGAGTCTAGTGAAAACACAAATAAAGACTCAGTTCGGTTCTCTCAGACTATGGACTTTTCCTAGCTGAGATAACCGTGCTTGAGAAGAGGTTTATTGTATCCTATTGTCTTGTATCTTTCAGCTACTCTCCATACTCTACATTCTTTACAATATCCTTACTTAGATAAGTCATAAATAGTCTTAACATACTACAGGTCATACATAAGAGATTAGTAGGTATTGAGAGATATGTTTCTGTCGTGCAAAGGCTTCCAAAGTATTATAACTATTATCAGTGAGAAGTAGAAGCAGATAACTGGATTCCGAAGAAGCGAAACGAATCCCAGGAAGACAAAGGAACAAGTGGAGCAACAGGCTCTACAACAAAAGAAGGAACATTAGAACAACTACTAAGGTGAATATATCGTGTTCCAAAAGTAAGCTGGACACGTGTCAGAGTGATACAAATTGTTGTGTGAACGTTTATAGAGTTCAAGGTGTGAAAAATTTAATAAGTGGCATTATGATTTATTAATCAATGTTGGGGAATTTCGACCAAGAGAATACACTGACGTCTGGGGCCCTCATGAGATAACACCAATAGAACAATACACAAGACAAGCTATTGCTAGTACAAGGTACAAACACATATGGAAGTGGAATGGTGACTAGTAGCACACAACAAAACACACAGTGGGAGTGAAGTAAAGACATATAGCTTCTTTACACGCACCAGGACCCTAACGCGCATAAACACGCATTCAATAGAGAAATCACGTCAAACACAATCTTGAACAAGAATCCAGAAGTACGCCACTCAAAGCAATAAGCACAGAAAGTTGTCCATAAGTGGAATCGGCACAGGACTAACAGGCAGAAAGGACTCCCGAGATAATAGACTAAGACCCAGAATAAACAGAGACACGAAATCTCGGAAGAGGGAGTAGGACAAACAACATTTCGAGAAGCATCTATAGGATCACGAAATTATATAGCATTTCTAGAAGTATTTCTAGAATAAGAAATAGCTATAGGGGCAACAGACAGCAGAGCAATGAACACTACGCTCAATGGGCAAGGGAGCACACTAAAAAAGCACACGAGATTAGGGTTTGACTACAAGAAAGGTAAAACATCACGTAAAGAATCGTGAAATCTCCTAGTGGATACATAGCTTTCCTATATCATTCATAGCTTCCCTTTATCATATACACTAGAGAAGACTTGAGACATGGTTTAGACAAAGACATACAAAGAAAATCCTACCCACTGAGTCCCTGAACACATAGAGGGCGCAGCTTGATCGATCAAAGGAAAATAACGCACTATCCTAAAGAATCATACGACCCAAATATATAATCACGAGGCAATTAGACTCAAAAAGTGATTAGGGAAGTTAGGATTTAGGATTAAAAATAATACGTGTCAACTAAACAGAATTATAAGTATTTAAGTTTTCTAATAGAAGGCTTAGAGATCTTACCCGAACATACAATCACAAGGCAATCAGACTCAAGAAGTGATTGGGGAAGTCAGAGTTGAAAACTCCAAATACTACGTGTCAATTAAACAGAATTATAAGCATTCAAGTTTTCTAATATTAAGATTTAAAGATCTTACACAATAGGAAGGAACGATTCACAATTATGCACAAACACATCTGATGAACATCAAAATCGCGCACCAGCAATGAATTCATTTAATCTAGACACAGTCTAGTACATATCGCTTGCACACAACGAAGCATTGTCACAAAAGCAGTAGCACGAACAGACCAAATAACTGAACCCAATCTGATCAGGCACAAACCAAGCCAAAAGAAAGATCTAAGACATTGGAGACATAACTCGATCTCACTTATCGTGGAAACAAACATCAAATGAAAAAAACAATATAGACGCATCATAACATAGTCTAGACGCATAAGGGCAACATATGATCAAGCAGATCAAACAACCAATCAAGATCAAACAACCAAGCAAAAAGTTCACTCTGATCAGGTACAATTCATATCTAGAAGATCACGAAAATTGAGATTATATTTGAACTCAAGATTGCAAACAAGCAACATATTACATTCCACAAGAATCACCAAACAATTAGTCTGGGGGTAACCAGGAAAGTGAGCAACATTGTGCAATCAAGCATCACACATTGAATGAGAACATTGAGAATGATTGCACACACAACACAGTTTGGAACGCACAAAACGTACAAGGTGTAATACCAAATAATGAATGATGCTAGTGACTATGGCATAGGGGGGTGTTTATTTCAAGTCATCGATGGAGTTAGAAGAGACATTCTCTCCTTCTCCAAAGGCTTGAATCCAGCACAACAACGCAATGACACAAACACTAAAGAGCTACCACTGGTATACAGCCTGGAAGATTTCTCCGAATACATCAAAGGGGGGGGGGATATAACACTGTGGACAGATCACAAAGTGTAGAGTTAGAGAGTAGCTGATAAGATACGACCAGAAGAAACAATAGATCTCTTCTCAAGTGTGAATTCTACAGCCAGGTAAAAGTCCTAGGCTGAAGCACTCGCATTGAGTCTTTATTTGTGTTTAGTATTTTCTACACAAGACCCAATATTTACTTAAGTGTTTCTCTCACACGCGGGAGTCCCGGTATCATCTACTGGTAATCCGCTATATTTCTGATCACACTATCATCAGAAATATTGGATCCTAGATCCAAAACTCAGTATTTGATAATCCTGGGTTTTGGGTTTAGGATTGGCTTTTCTGATAATCTGGCCCCTGGATGCTACAGCCCCCCAACTTTATGCTTCTCAGCCTGCGTAGGACTAAAAAGTGACCTCTTATAAGACTAGATTATCTAGAGGTTGGTGTATTTGTACAGGGAAAAACTTGTCCCTTAGGGGGTATAAGATGGAAAAACATGCCACCATTACCTATTCCAACATATTACTGATTAAATTAATTTAAACTAAATAACAGGAGTACTCTACTACGCTCATCGAAGTCAGTCTTGGCCTGTGCTCTCGGTTGATCTCAACTTGTCTTAGGAAAACTCATCACAACGGTGGCTCTCAACCGAGTCTTCGGTCCTAATCCCTCTATTGGGTGGGTGTAGTAAAC